ATGGGAATAAGTAAATAACTTTTCCTTATCTACTTTCTCCACATCACTCATGATTTTATATACCTCGATCATATCCCCCCTTGGTCTCCTCTTTTCCAAGCTGAAAAGTCCTAGCCTCTTTAATCTCGCCTCATATGGGACCCGTTCCAAACCCCTAATCATTTTAGTTGCCCTTTTCTGAACCTTTTCTAGTGCCAGTATATCTTTTTTGAGATGAGGAGACCACATCTATACGCAGTATTCGAGATGTGGGCGTACCATCGATTTATATAAGGGCAATAAGATATTCTCAGTCTTATTCTCTATCCCCTTTTTAATGATTCCTAACATCCTATTTGCTTTTTTGACCGCCTCTGCACACTGCGTGGACATCTTCAGAGAACTATCCCGACTTGTATAGTGTCTGTGCTTTGACCGTAGTTGGGGTTTGGTCCCTTATTCCTAGCGCCTTGGCCTCATTTTTGATTATGTATTTATAGGGAGAGAAGCTCAGAGTGCAACCCCCCAAACTAGCACTAAGATGAACACAAGGAACCTGAGAATGCCCCAGTTCTCCTCCAACGAGGAGACTGTATCTAACCAGGAGAAGCAAAAAAAGATTATGACTCATGAGGCTAATTCTGATCTCACTACCACCAGTTTCGGGAACTGATCTCACTTGAGTTGCAGCAGCGTAAACAAAGTCAGAATGAGGCCCCCCAAATCAACTTTAACTCTCCAGTTTGTTTGGTAGGAAGACAACTTGGCCTGCGGAAATGCATGGTTATGCATGGCATCGAAAGGATCCATACGAGAGAACGACCTAGCCATGCAAAGACTGGCGTGGTTAGAGATCAGCGTTACAATCCAGCCACCAGTTTTAGGACAATCTCAGGGCAAATTTAAAAACTACATTTCATTGCATGCCAAGCAAGGGAAAGAAAAGAGAATCCGTAATTAACATGCAGGAGCTAGAGAGGCAGGGAAGGCTAAAACCAAAGAAGCAAAATTTTCCATACATTAAGCCCATGAAGATTATGCTGCTGCTAAACTGCGCTGTTGATTCTCCAAGCTGCCCATGCCTGGGAACATTGAGATCCTTGTGTTCTGAGGACATCGTAAACCCAAACTGGGGGCAGCTGTTCAGTAGGTATTTGGCGAGGTTTCAGGCAGTGCCCCCGGCATGAGCCAGAGATTCCCAGGCCAGAAGGGACTGTTGTGGTCACCAGTCTGACCCATGTAGCACAGGCCGGAGGATGTGACCCAGGCACTCCTGCATCAAGGCCGATAACTTGGGTTTGTCTGCGGAACGGGCAAACAACGAAGTGGAAGGGAAGGAGATAGTCTCAGTGGCCGGGCTGGGCTCCTGTCTGAAGGATTGTTTAATGCTGCTGGGGTGGTGCTAAGGGGCAGAACACCTACCGCTTGTAGTAGGGACCCTTAAAAACAATTTAAAAGGAAGTAAAAAATTACCCTTCCAAGCTTCCGTAGGCTTCTCGGCTTCCTTATTGGGGGCCCAAGTCTGCAATCCTTGCCCACCTGGTGTGAAGCCCCTTGGGCAAAGGGGCCAGCAAAAGGCCGAGGACATGACTTAATTCCCACGTAAGCCCTATGGCTTTATGGATGAGCACTGAATAGCAATAATGGGCTTATGTGGGACTGAAGCGGTGCAGAGGGCTTGGTGCCGGCCCAATGCCCAGGACCAAATTTCACCCTTAGGAAATAAATTAGATTAACCTAAGATGTGGGTCACATCTGAGCCACCCATTTAACGGCTTCCTCTGCGATTGGCTTGTCCCCGTTCCGAGGTGGCCGAGCCTGGCTTGCTCCCGTTCCAACGCGGGCCGGCACTCACCCCCAAGGTAGGCGCAGTTGTAATGGCTGCAGGTCCGGTTCATGCTGTGCAGGAGGAAGACGCTGCAGTTCCCCTCCCGGGAGAAGCTGGAGATGTTGAACACTTCGCTCCCGGGGATCAGCACTTCTCGCTCGGAAGGGATGGCGGAGAACGACTCGATGAGGACGCCGAAGCAGGAGCGCAGGGTGAAGAACGTGGCGTTGCCGTAACTCCGAGCTAAAGCCATGTCCAGCGAGGAAGAGGTGAACTGTCCGAACCGGAACATACCTGCCCCGCTGGGCTCAAAGCGGATGGATCGGACTCCCCGGAACAGCTGGCGTCTGAACAGGGGGCCACAGTCAGCCCGTAAGAGCTGCAGGGCTCTCGTCAGATAGTAATGGAGAGCTTTGAAGTGGAAATTGCTCATGTAGTTATCTCGGGAGACCCCAGCCTCTCTCACTGCCTTGTTCAACTCCCAGTACAGTGGCTTGGAGGAATCAGTGTAGACCAGGATGGCTATGCCATGTTCATCCCTAAAGCCCTCGGGCACAGAAAGCCTTTTCTTCTTAATTGCCCAAACAGCCGATAGGTTTCCCCACATAGAGCCCAGCAGCGGGTGTCTGGCTTTTTCCTCCTCTAGCAGGCGAGGTGCAATATCCCTTTCCATTTCCTCAGTGCAGCCAGTGTATTGGTCATCGAAAGAGTCGGGTGCCATTCCCAACTGCACAGCCTGCTGGCATCTCACCTGGAGGGAGATGAAACAGGTTGCTCAGGGGGTGGTCGGGGGTAGCCGGGTCTGACTGGCAGCTCAGCCATCTTGCCGTGCAGTGGCAGAGTAGTTCTCATGCTGGGCCATGCAGCCAACAATGCTCCCGCCCCATAGCTCCTGGGCACAATTTTACCCGATGGAGGGAACGGTTCTTCAGTGACACTGGACTCAAACTGCACCACCGTGGCTCACTGGCTAGAGAACTGGACTAGAACTCAGGAGAGCTGGGTGTTCATCCCACCTTTAGAAAGTCACGTCCCCGCTCTCTGCCTCAGTTTCCCTGTGTGAAACGAGGGAAATGATTTTTCTCGTGCTTTGGAGTCTGGAGCAAAGCATTCTAGTACTTAGAGTGCCTTCCCATCCAAGGGGTGTGTTCTACTGACTGGCAGCCACATCATGGAGGCTGATTAAAAGCAAAATTTCATCTCCATCCGGACTCCCCCACAGCTCACAGGATATTCCCCACCTGTACACAGCGGCACTAATACTTACACAGTGAACAAACAGCCACAGTCGCGGGCTGGCTCTCTACAGACGGGCCCTCCTCTCTCCTCCCACCGGCTGTGACCCTCTGAGACGCCACGTACCTGAGCCGCCGGGACAGAGACAGGTTACGGGAATGAGGGGACGGCGGAGAGAATTCAGCTGGAGGAATTCAGTTACCTGAGAAGTTTCCAGCAAGGCGAGAGCCCAAAGAGAAGCCAAGGAGAGAACCACAGACCTCAACGTCTTCATTTCCCAGCTCACCTGCGAGGCTGAAGGCAAATCCAATGGGTAGATCAGTGGACATCGGGCAGATTTCAACATTACCCGCAGGGGGATGTAGCCTCCCCAGTCAATGGGTGTGCCATGCTGATCTGCTGGGAGGGTACCACCCTCCACCCTGGCACCAGCACCCTAATGCCGGCCTGCTGTGGAGGACAGGCCTGTGGGGGCGCAAGGATGTTTGGGGAGCCAGCCCGCCCCACGCTCACCCTGCAGCGGTGGCTCTGTCCTGCAGGCCTAGGCCTCGCTCCTCACTCAGGGCATAGCGCCACCGGGGGCTGGTGCGGCACCCCCCCCCCCATCATGATGGAGCAGGGAGCCAGGCTCAGCCAATGTGGCGGTCTTGTTCTCCACACTCTTCTTCCCCTTTTTAGTCCTCCTACTCTCCCACACCAGGCTGGGAGAAGTGTAGGTTTGCCTGGCTTTGCCCCCTTGGTGCCACGATTTCTGTGGGTGCAAATGATCCCATGAACCTACACTGCCATCACCCATAACCACCAACCGTCTCACGTCAGTCTTGACACCACTCCCGCAGTGAGGACATCCCGTGCGCACGGCAAGATTTCAGAGGACAGAATTCCTGCAGCAGAGGAAGCCCAGCCTGAAGACAAGTTGTTGACTATCTGGTATATTTTTAGTGACCCTAATTTCTTTTCACAGGAGCCAGCTGGACAAGACAGGGCTCGGTCACAGTCCAGAGGACATGGCTAAAAATAAAGGAACGGAGCTACTGTTTGCATGGAGACACTGTCTAGGGCTCACAGGGCAGACACATCAGCAGAGACCGCGGATTTCTCAGCCGGCAGCCTCTAGGCCTAGAATCATGCAGCAAGTGACAGATTTTAGTGGGGTTTCCCGGAATGTACATTAATCATGCAGAAGGTGAAGCATTCCACTCCGGGGATGCTGCACATGGTTTTGATTTCAGACGGCGTCCCAGCAACCCACTGCCAGACGCCTGCAAACCCTGCGCATGGACAGGGACAGATGGCATTTGTACCAAGGCCAAAAATCACAGGGAGGGAAGCAGCTTCCAGGAGTTACGTAGGAGACAGCCTCAGGGCACTGTTCACAACAAACACAAGCATGGGGAGAGGGGGCTGTACCTGATTTCCCCAAACAGATCGCTGTTCCCGGCAGGCAGAATCCCAAACCACACGTCTTACGTTGAAGGGTCCAGCTGATTCCCTGATCGCACTGGGGCGTCTTCAAAGAAAAAACTCTATGGGAAAAACATTTTTCCAAGGCCTTTCCCTCCCTGCAGGCAACAGCTGAAACTTAAGTTACAACACGACACTGAGCCCAGTTTATCTTCGTTATTTCCGTATATTTGACCGGAGATCCCAGAAAGCAGAGCACAGCCGGTGCCGTGTAGGCTACATACAGCTCTCAGGTGCCCAAACACGGCACGTGTAGCCACTCATCTAGCAAGGGACCAGCTGACCTGCCTTCAGTTCCCGTAAGTAGAATCAAGCCAGAGATGCCTTCGCCCTGCACAGATCTGTTTACAAAGTGGAGTGATTTTGGTTCTAAGCCATGACCTTTGCTGAGTGAGATAAACAAAACTAAAACTCCAGTTAAACTGCCCAGCATATGGGCCAAGAAGTGCCTCTGGCTCACCGCTTTTCTTCATTCCAGAAATAACGAGGGGCAACAAGAAGAAATAGCCTGTAAAGTGTAACCCTCCTGCCAGGGGGTGAGGGCAGGGACCAGGGCCGGCTCCAGGCACCAGCCGAGCAAGCTGGCACTTGGGGCGGCAGATTGTTCGAGGCGGCATTCTGCCCAATCCTAGGGCGGCACGGCCGCTTTTTGTTGTTGTTGTTGTTCCGCTCCAGCCGCCCTGTAGGGGGCGGCGTTGCGGAGAACCAGAGCGCCCTGCAGGGCAGTCCTCTTCCTTCCCTCCCCGCCGACC